ATCGTCCCCCTGTACTACCTGTAATAAAAAGTAAATGGGAAAGTGGGAAAAAAATGATGGGGGAAAAAAAAAAAAAGGGGGAAAAAAAATAAAAGGAAAAAAAGTGTCCCCAAAACCCCAACCCGGTTTTTTTAAAACTAAAACCCTCAGGGGAAAAAACACTAAAATCTGAATTGGTGAAAAAAAAGGGGCAGTTTTTTTCCAAACTTTTTTTTTTTTGTTTTAAAAATGTTTTTGGGGGGGAAACCCCCGAGCGGGGTTTAAAACCCAGCTAATGGGGGGGGGAAAAGGGCAGGTGGGGAGGAAAAATTTTTCAGACGAGGAAAAACCCTTGGAAAATTTTTTTCCTTAATTTTTAAAAATTTGGGAAATGAACCCAAATTTGAATAGTTTTTTGAATAAATGGGATAGTCAAAAACCAAACTTTTTTAAAAACCCTTTTTTTCAAAAGCCCGAACAAATTTTTTTAAAAAATTTAGTTTTAAAAAAAATGTGTTTTCCCAACGTTTTTTTTTCCTATGTTTTTTTAAAGGTTTTTTTAAAAAAATTTCCCCAAATTAGTTTTTTAAATTCCCCCCTTAATACAACCCTTTCCGAGTTTAAGGTAAACCCTTAAACCCCCCTAAAAACCTTTTTTTGGGTTACAGGGGAAAAAAATTTTTACAAAAGAAAAATTTAATTAAAACCCCTAATTTTTTAAAAAAAATACAGCAGTTTAAATTTTCAAACAAAAAACCGAAATGGAAAAAACCCAAGCGTACTTTTAAAAAAAACACAAAATCAGGTAAACAAAAAAAACGCCGCCCTTCCCAAGGGACTTACAGAATTTCTTTAAAACAAGTACTTTCGCAGACTTACAGCAGTTTTCTTTTCAGCGTACTTACAGCAGTACTTAAGCATACTTTTAAAAGAATATTTTTAACAGCTAAAAACAGCGTAAAAAAAAAAAAAACAGTACTTAAAAAAAAAAAAGGTACTACGCAGTACTTACGCGTACTTCAGCTTACTTACGCAGTACTTAACAGAAAAACCAACAGCAGTATTACAGCAGTCTTAAAAAAAAGCTACTATTCAAACAGTACTTACAGATTATTACAGCCAAATACTTTAAAACTTTCGCAAGTACAAAGCGTCTTTTAAACAAGTACCTTACAGCAGTTCTTAACAGCAGTAAACTCAAACCGTAAAATTTTGAAAATTTCACGAGTACTTAAGCCAAAAATTTTCGAGTCTTACAGCGTAAATTAAAAGCAGTCTTAAGAATTAAAAAACAGGTCTTACCGGAAAAATACCCCAGTTCTTTCGCGTACTTTACAGATTATTTCCGCAGTACTTTAAAGCAGTCTTCAGCAGTACTTACGCCCAACTTTCAGCGTCCCCCAGCAAACTTACGCAGTACTTAAAAAACTACAAGCTTTAAAAAAAGCAGTACTTACACAGTACTTACGCAGTACTTTCAACCCGAAAAACCCGAGTACACAGATACTTAAGAAAAAACAAACCGTCTTAAGGTTTTCCGAGCTCACCCGAGCCCCTTCCAGAAAAGTAATTTAAAACAGAAAAAAACCTTAAATTTTTTAAAACGGTAACCAATTAAAAAAACCAGGAAATTTTTTACAAAATTTGCAAAATCTTTGCGTAAAATTAAAAACCTTTCGAAAACACACGAAAAAAATTTAAAAAACCCAAAATATTTCAGCGTTTCAGCAAATTCGCTCTTAAGAAACCCCACAACCGGGAAACCCAAAAACCCCCCCCCCCCCCCCAAACCCCCGGCCCCCAAATTCCCCCAAAGTTTTTAAGGGCCCTTTAGTCCACCCCCTTTGAAATCCAAAAAATACAAAAAACGGGGAAAATAATTTTTCCCCCCCAAAAGGGAAAAAATTTTTTTAATTTTTCCCAGTTTTAAAAAAAAACAAACAAACTAAAAAACAACAAAAGTTTAAAAAACCCCCTCCAAAAAAGGGGTCCCCAAAACCCCCCTTAAAAAAATTGGTCAAACAAAAAAAACCAAAAACCGACCATTAAAACCAAAACCCCCACCCACCCCAGTTCACCTTTGGGGAGGGGCCCCAAAAATTTTCTAAAATTGTTTTTATTTAGAAACTTTTTGGGGGGACCTTTTTATGGGGGGAACAAAACGCACAATACTTTGGGTTTTCCCCCAGAAAAAATTTCTCATTGTCCTCCCCCCCCTTCCTTTACTTAGGGTTTTAAGGGGGGCTCAATTTTTTGGGGGGTTTGGCCTTTTAAAAATTTTTGGGTTTTGTTTTTTTTTGGGGGGGAAAAAGGTTAAAAAAATAAAATAAAAACCCAAAAAAAAAAAAAAACCCCACCAAATTTTTTATGGGGCCCGGTTTAAAAATTTTTTTTTTAAAAAAGTATTTTAAAAAAAATTACCCTTAAAAACTTTTTAAAAAACAAAAAAAAAAACTAATAAAATTTTTAAAAAATTTTAAATTTTTTTTTGGGAAAAAAAAAAAAAAAAATTTTTCTTAAAAAAGTTTTAAAAGGATTCAAATTTTATGGGGTTTTTAAAAAGGAAACAAATCTTTTTTTTTAAAAGTTTAAAAAAAACTACCCTTAAAAAATTTTTAAAAAAAAAAAAAAAAAACTTACTTAATAAGTTTTTTTGTCAAAATTCTAAATTTTGGTAAACCCAAAAAAAGTTGGGATTTAAAACTTTTTTTCTTAAAAAAAGTATTATAAAGGGGCTCCCTTTAATATCTGGGTTGTGAGACCCCTTTGGGGATAAAAAAAATTTCTTTTTAAACTAAAAAAAAAAGGGAAAAAACCCAAAACCCCAATATCTGGGTTTTGGGGGGCCCCCAGTTTAAAAATTTTTTCTTTTTTATTAAAAAAAATTTAAAGTCCCACCCTTTTCCCTAAATTTTTTAAAATTTTAATTTTAAAAAAAAAAGAAAAACTTTAACCGGTTTTAAAATTAAACCAAAAAACAAATAAAAAAATTTAAAAACCCCCCCCCCAAAAACAAACCAAAACCCAAAAAACTTATTTAAGTTTAAAAAAAGACTCCCCCCAAAAAATTGGTTGGAAAACGTGTATCAAATACTTTACTTAATAAAGTATTATAAAGACTCACCTTCAATATCTGGTTGTGAACACAGTGTATCAAATACTTTACTTAATAAAGTATTATAAAGACTCACCTTCAATATCTGGTTGTGAGACACAGTGTATCAAATACTTTACTTATTAAAGTATTATAAAGACTCACCTTCAATATCTGGTTGTGAGACACAGTGTATCAAATACTTTACTTAGTAAAGTATTATAAAGACTCACCTTCAATATCTGGTTGTGAGACACAGTGTATCAAATACTTTACTTAATAAAGTATTATAAAGACTCACCTTCAATATCTGGTTGTGAGACACAGTGTATCAAATACTTTACTTAATAAAGTATTATAAAGACTCACCTTCAATATCTGGTTGTGAGACACAGTGTATCAAATACTTTACTTAGTAAAGTATTATAAAGACTCACCTTCAATATCTGGTTGTGAGACACAGTGTATCAAATACTTTACTTAATAAAGTATTATAAAGACTCACCTTCAATATCTGGTTGTGAGACACAGTGTATCAAATACTTTACTTAGTAAAGTATTATAAAGACTCACCTTCAATATCTGGTTGTGAGACACAGTGTATCAAATACTTTACTTAATAAAGTATTATAAAGACTCACCTTCAATATCTGATCTCGTTCTTTTAGGCCCATCTTTTTGGCGATCCCTTTTTCGTCCAAACTTTGTACCGTTGCTAGGTAGAGTTCCAATCCATCGTAAAGCTGAAATAGTTTGATGTTTCAAATACTTTAACTTTTAAAGTGCTGCAATACGTAAAAACCTTTTCAGTAAGTTTCGAGTTTTATCATTCTGAACATTAAAACAGAAAGATGATAAACTGCCACAGCTTTTATTTGATGGCACAAATCATTTAGTTTTGTGCCATCCCGAAATTTCTTTGTCCCTGAGCTAAGATCTAACATAGATCTGTGTTAGGTCTAACACTGATACAGAAAACATGTACTACCTTAACCTTACCTTAGCAATGATGTTGGACACATTGACACCCCAGCTGGATGTACTACCTTAACCTTACCTTAGCAATGATGTTGGACACATTGACACCCCAGCTGGATTTCTTATTCTTCCTCGTCAGAGTAATCTGTGACGTTTTTATCTGATACTTCAAATGTGACTCAAAGTATACCAACTTCCCACTGTCATCGTTATTCATCACCACTGTCAGCCAGTGCTTGTTGAGGTTAGAGTAAAGATCGTCTTATCAGTGGCTACATTACATCCTACAATAATATAGCCTGGTAACTCTGGTTATAGTCATACATCTACAGTGGCTACATTACATCCTACAATATTATAGTCTGGTAACTCTGGTTATAGTCATACATGATACATCTACACAGTATACAGTATACAGTATACACAGTACACACAGTGTACAGTGGCGTCTCACGTTGGTAGTTTTTAGACGAAATTAAGATCTTAGACAAAGATTTAAATCACATCGTTGTTAAACGGAACTGAATGGCCGTACATTACCAATATTTCATGAATTAGTTAAAGAGAAAATGAAACCAATTCTCCAGGCTTATCACCTATAGTGAATGTAACAAAAGCAATACAATCAACAAGGATAAGAGTACAATTACAAATAATTATCAAACACACACAAGGGAGGTAAAATCCACACCCGAGAAATGCCATATCAAATTACACGGATCATTCTGACCACGTGTCTAAAAAGATATTGACTGAGATTCTAATCGTGTAAAACACAGCTGGTTTCATTTTTCTTGACTTAAAATATGTACATATAATTATTAGATACACATGTATACGATTTTAATCATTATATACATTGTGATCAGTAACTAACAATAATTAACCTAGTTACGAATAGTAAAGCAATGCAATGTATTTTTAGATGTAGTTGTTTTCTTGAATGACACAGTTGTTGATACCACTAGCTCCTGAGAATGACACAGTTGTTGATACCACTAGCTCCTGAGAATGACACAGTTGTTGATACCACTAGCTCCTGAGAATGACACAGTTGTTGATACCACTAGCTCCTGAGAATAACACAGTTGTTGATACCACTAGCTCCTGAGAATAACACAGTTGTTGATACCACTAGCTCCTGAGAATGACACAGTTGTTGATACCACTAGCTCCTGAGAATGACACAGTTGTTGATACCACTAGCTCCTGAGAATGACACAGTTGTTGATATCACTAGCTCCTGAGAATGACACAGTTGTTGATATCACTGGGGGTGTGGCCACATTCCCCGCAGGTTCTCCAGACCATGTTGTTTGGCGCGCTACATACCGGACACGCCCACTCCTCCTCCAGACTGGCAATAGTCACTGTGTCTAGTGGTGCTTCTCCACCTGGGCATAATTAACATTAATTAACATTAATAACATTAATTAACAATTAATAACATTAATTAACAATTAATAATATTAATCAATACAATTAACATTGATTATAATAATAAAAATTCATTCATTTATGTAGCTATTATGGCAGATTGATTGTGTTATAAAACAATCAGATTATAAAGATACATGTGTCTGGAAACCCTGTACTAGTGTAACCGCTGTAACGCGTGCCTACGGCCGGGACTCCACTATCACAGTTGAAATGCAAAAGTATAAACACGCACTATCATGCTTAATAATGTTTAAACGCATAAACTCAAATTAAATAATTAATAAACATGTGTGGTACATACTCATACGTTTTACCCAAACTTACAGTTTTCAGCACCCGATTTGTCATCAACTAAACAAATGACAGGTGATACAGATGGACAATGGACATAAGTCAATAGTCATGCATAGTTTACAGTAATAAATATCATTAGCATTCACATTAGGTGCAAGAGAAGAGATAAATAAGTTTTGATAAAAGATTGTGGTGTCATCCCAGAGAAAGATATAGATACACGATCAAGAACAAAGGAAAAGACTGCATTGATCTTCTTACTAAATACAAAGTCATAGCAGTTGTAGAACGGTCGACTCTCGCCTAAAAATAGATTTTACTAATTATCAGTGCTGAAATTTATTGTTAAATAGAAATATTATAATATGCTCTAAGAAAGTAAATGTATTTACCCAATAATCAATATTATTATATGGTGGCACTATTCATGTGATGTGCCATGATCTGAAATGATATTCAGATTTGACTTCAAAACATGAATTTGAAACAAAAGTCAAAATTAAATAAAGGAACCATCATCTCGGCTTGGGAACATATGACAAATACAGGCAACGGGATATTTAGAGGCAAACAATACTAAAAAGTCAGTTCAAAAAACCTGATTTTTGTCTCTCGAAACTCATTTCATTGATCAGCTTCTTCTGGTTGTCTTTTTCTTTCAACTGATTCTCTATCATCGCATTCTGAGATACATTCAATTATAAATTCGTAAGGATTGAAATCGATTCAGAGTTAAATAGTATGTGTTAGTGCTTTTCAATACAAAGTAAAAACAAGGCCTTTACCCACTTAAAACCTTTCCATCACGATACATAATACTCAATAAATGTAATAGATTTGTAGTGTTATGATTAGTTTAATTAAATAAAGAAGTTTTGAGCTAACTGACCAGTTCATGTTCTAGACGGTCGTTAGAAGCAGTTTTGTCGAGACACTCCTGAATTTTCAGTTGCAGCTTTGCTATTTCCAGGTCCATTATCTTAGACTCCTTTTCAGTTGCATCCAATGTCTTGTAAGATAAAATCGAAATTAATATTAGAAGCATTTTGTTTTTTATTGGTTTTAAATTAACTTTAGTATATAATTTTAAGAGTTTATAATTCAAAAACCGATACTTTTTTTTCGGGAGAATTTACCTTTCTGCAGTTTCGTAATCTTTTTCTCTGATCATCTAGAATCAAATCTGAAAGAAAGTGTGTAACCGTAAGAATGTTTACACTGTCTGAAATCAAAAAGAGTTCTCATACTACAATTGAAAGACATGCGCAATTAAATTGTTTAAAATACATTTTGTGGCACATATGGGATACTTCATTAATCATCTGCTATTAATGTCGAATGCAATTTACCAGTTGAAGAACTGATTGGAAGAGAAGTCGGACGGGCAGGAGTGAATTCTTCGTGAATCAAGTTATAACCTGGGCCATCCTCTTCATACATTCTGTACAAATGGTTGTTAAGACCCACTGTCCATTGCTTACAGTAATCATGTTAATATTTCTGCTGATCTTAAATTATGTTCTTAGAGCTTATTCATTGACCCATAACACAGACAATTTGTATTTTAGTGTATATTCCATTCGATTACTGCCTTAAACAAAACCAGCAATAAAATTGTGTAGATGAGATGGTAAAAAAGGGTTCTATAGACTATTTGTATTGTAGAATTGTTTCATTTCAGTAAATAGTTGTGCAGTTTATTGCAATTAACAAGAACAATGGTACTTTTCACAATTCAATGTTGCTGTACTAATTTCTCTTTTCCTCGATTCTTTTGTTACATTTCATTTCTACTTTTGTTAGTTTTAGAGCTGCACCATGATAGCACTCTATAATTACCATGGCTTGCAAATAGTTTAATGGTAATTAGCAGGGGTGTAGGAAGCGGGGGGCAGGGGGGGGGGGCCATCGCCCCCCATGAAATCTGGGCAAGGGCCAACTTTTTTTCCCCCGAAAATGTTAAAGTCAAAATGTTTTGAAGTCAAAAATTTTCAAAGTTTTCTTGAAAACTACTTTTGTTCATGTTTCATGCTACCCTGATCATTCTGAGCCGAAAATTGTTTTTTCGGTTTTCGAAGTCCGCACCTACCCTTCGATATACGATTTTGGACTCGAGGGTTCCCCTTTGTGATTCGATCTCGGTTGGCAGGCGTCCCCTTCGTAATACGAGCTCGGAAGCGGTAGCTCTGCTTTCAGAGGTACGTATCGTGAATGACTCGGACCGAAAATTTTCTAAGTCCAAATTTTTAAAAGTTTTACTACTTTTGTTCATGTTTCATGCTACCCTGATCATTATTAGAGGTACGTATCGAGAATGACATTGACTCGTACTGAAAATTTTTAAGTCAAAATTTTTCAAAGTTTTTCTGGAAATTACTTTTATTCATGTTTCATGCTACCCTGATCATTCTGAGCCGAAAATATATTTTTCGGTTTATCGAAGTCCATACCTATATTCGGAAGGTTGTGGATGTAATACTGATTGGTTTCATATACTAATTATAGAAAACGTGATATTTGGCCCACAGATTTGAAGGAAAATACGCAAATTTGGTCCTCAAATTTAAAGGAAAATGCGAAATTTGACGCGGAGAACTGAAAAAATCGCGATAAGGCGTGAGGCAAGGATATGAAAAATTGCGACTTGTCGCGGCAAATGTGAAAAATCGCGATACCGCACATGCTGCAATTTCCTTTTGTCCTTACCCTCGAAATAAAATTTGTTTACTATTGTTGTATAATTTAATCAAATAAGTTCATTGTCTATTGCTTACTGTAACCTGAAAGGAATTAGGAGCTGCCTCTTTTCGAAAAAGAGCGCACAAGGGCTTTTGACAATTAAAATTGCTCATTGTTCAAAACTTATACAAGTACCATTGTATTTCTGATATTTTAACAATCATGAGATTTCGTACTCCACTCACATTGTACATGATACGTTAGATAGTAAAAATGGGATACAAGCTATAGACCTCCCAAGAAAAGCTACCACATTGTTTCACATTGCTATCAACTTGTGAAGTAGCATATAAAAACAGATTCTAAATAAAAGTGGCAAAAGTCTTGACACCTTAGTGGTGAAACAAGTAAAGTCATTATCTTTGGTCATCCAAACATTGGTCAAAGGATCCTATCTGGATAACATTTTATGTTGTCTGCACAAACTTTTCCAGATCTCACAATCCTAAGCTATAAATGTTCGTGATAATAATAAATAAATATAAAGACCATCGGATCTAATATACTATTACACCATTGCTTTCATATCAAACCTCACTCATGACTCAACTACAGTCAGCATTTAATACGGGTTTTATAAAATAATATACACATAATGCAATGACCCTATATAAAATTCTGTAAAAATGGTACAAATTTAAAAACTGAGGTAAAAATAAAAATAAAACCCTTTGTAATAATATATATAAAATCCACTAAATCACATCACAACAAAAAGCAGTTTAGACCCCCATCCAACTAGAGCACTCCATGACCTTTTAGGGTTTAAGAGTGTTGATCAGGTTAAGGTCCAAATCACTTATTGCCGTGGGTGGAAGGGTTCTGGTACCTCTGTACCCCCTGATAGAGATTATACAGGTTCTGAGTAGATCAAAACGCAGTCTGCGTCTGACAAATGACATCACATCACAATACCGTTGGCCTTTCTTTAGGCTGATCTTTTCAGCGAGATGTTTTAGAAACTGTGAAGCCTCAGTTGCCATTCCTCCTGTAGTACTGAACACCAGTGGCGTGAAGGTAGCCTTTTCAACATTGAGGACTCTGTCATTGTACTCACGTTTTTTGCTTTTCTCGTGAGATTGGAACATCTGTGAGATGCTCTTGTCACTGTTGGACTGGGCTTGAGGGTGAAGTACCCTTACATCTGTGAATGCCCTGTCCAGCGGCGACCAAAACGATCTCGCACTGATGTCCAGTCTTGCACCATCCTGTCTATTTGTTCCATTAGATAGTTCAAGTGTGTGAGGAACGGAGAGAAGCTGGGGTTCTGTTTCAACGTCTTTGCAAACAGTGGTTAGGAGTTCAGCTATTGTATCTCTTAGTGAATTGTGTCTAAGTGAAACGTAGCCTCCGATTTTGCAGGTTAGAGTATGGTTGATATGATTTTGATTTCCACATACACATAGGGGACTTCTGTTATCTGTAGACAGTGTAAGATTATATCTGAGTGAGAGGGCATCAAAGAATTCTTGTTTGTTAAGGACGTACCCACATGCTTTTAGAGGGAGTGTGGATAACCAAATGGATGCTCCTTTTTCACTAAGGAGTTCTAATTGCCTTTGTGTTGATGGGGATACCTCATTCATAATAGTTTCACGTTGGTGTTTGTAAAGCTCTTCCTTACGCTTCTTTACTTCACTTATGATGTCATGCTGCAGTTCTTCGTTTAGTTGGAAAGTAGAAAGCTGTTGAAAAACTGCTTCTGTGAGCTGTTTTGTAGCATTTACTGAGTTAGTGTACTCCATCTCTGCTGTTGATGTGCAGTCTGGAATGCTCAGCCCGCCCATTCTTGCAGGAAGTGAAGCTATTTTTCTGATTTGATCAGGCACAAAACTGTTGCCCATAATGGCTGGTATAAAGTCTTCCTTGACACAATATTCCAAGTGTTTCAGATGGTCGGAAATCCCTGGGGTTGTACGGCAAACAAAATTCCATCTTTTGGAGGTTCCGTAGATGAAAGCGGAGTAGGCTAGCTGGGGTTCGTTTGCAGCTATTTCGACGAGTCCAAGAATGTCTGCTTTCCAACTTTCGGTCTCCTTTAGTATGAACTCTTTTACCCCTTCTTCTGATCCAATATATGACCCAAGATAACGGTGGCCTTTGGTAGTGATCTGAACATCTCGAAAGAGTTCCTTAGCTTTGGTTGCATGCTCTGGTTTCACTATCAACCATGTCTTGCTGGGTTTTGGGTAATACCCATACATGGGACCATGATCTTTAAGGTCCTCCCACCATTTCGTGAGTTGATCAAGTTTACCCCCTGCTGCTGAGTCGTCAGCATACCAAACTTGTTTGGGATACCTTAATTCCCAAAAATTTGGGCGACAAAAAATTTGAGCGGGCCTCTTGCCCAAATTTTTTGCAGACCAAATTAATTGCATAAATCTTTTCCGTCTGCTAAATTTTTTGCTAACCAAACTTTTGGCATTTGGCCTGTGGCCCTGAAATCTATAGAAAGATGGCTTTTTCTTCATATCCAAGTGAAATAATATTTGAAATTTTAGTTTTCTAATCTGTCATTCATGGCTTGACCAAGTAAAAAGGCTTATATTTTAAATGAATGTCTGGTTAATTAAAATTAGACTTGACCTTTGGTCCGGGTTTACAGTAGTTTGCTACACACAATTATGTACACCTTTGTTTCCCCCAAAGCTAAGCGTATGTGCCGCTTAGTTTGATAGATCATGATGTAAACCTTCTAATTTTCTTCCAAACCTTTTGACCATCTGGTGAGATAATGATAATTGTATGTGAAAGGGGTATGATAAGATATGCTGAGTGTAAGTAGACTAAACTATCTGATTGAGAGACTAAATATCACTATTGTATATCTATCATTTTGTACTGTGCTTGACTGTATTTTTTAGTAGTTACTGGGCAGATCGTAAATTTCATAATGTGAAACAACTCAGACTACCACCTACATGCTTAAAATTGAAAGCAAAATGACTGGAATAATAAGGAATAATAATAAACTAAGGCAAATATCTAACTGAAATTTTAGTGGAAAATCGTTCATTTTTCGAAGAATTTGTGCCCAAATTTTCGGTCGCCCAAATGAGTTCAAATTTTCTGCCCAAATTTTTCGGGCTCAAATAAATTGTGCTCAATATAATGGCACACAAATTTTTGGGAACTAAGGTAAGTGTTGGGTTCCCTGTCTGATTCTGGTTCTGTTTCAGGTTCTGTCTGTTTAACCTGGACTTCTCTGAGCAGAGGCATTAGGCTCAGTGCATACCATCCGAGTGCACAGGTATCTCCCTTTGTAGTTCCTTCCTGAGATTGTAAGTGGTCATCACTGTTGGCAATGAATAGGTCAGCATTTAATTACACTTTCATTGATGTACTGTAGCACTTTCTTTGATAAGTGCCTTAATACCACATGATATATGCTGTATCAAATATTATTGTCAGTCTTCCTGCATGTGCACGTATGATATTTACGAGAAACGAAAAGGCAAAAAATACTTTCATCTAGATCGAGTGCTGTAAACTGAAAAAATGATTTGAACCCCGTGTCTTCTTGAATTCATATTATATATATTAGTGATAATAAACTGTGAACTGGAGGTGTAAACTGCGCCAAGTTCAAATTTCATTTTTATCATTTAGCTTTGCTTTGTACTATTGCCACGTTTTGTAAAACAACATGGATTTTTATTTAACAATGACAACATTCCCATTAGTATATGGGCTGTTCTTATATA